CGATCTCCCAATGGACACTCTTTGCAAAAAGAAATTTGCGTCCGAAGAGAAGAAAATGCGTCTAAAAGTTGACAAATCTTACACTTTCCAAATTTATTGCGCGTTTTCTCCTCTTCAGATGCAAATATTTTCGCCAAACGTGCCAATTGGGAGATCGTGTCTTTTGCAAATTTCACCCTAATTAAATTTCTGATCGATTCACACTAATTTGCCCAAAATCGGATCGCATTTGCTGGAAGACCTCCATTGTCGGTGGCATCACATCCTTTACGTCGTCCACCCCCACGAGAAATCGGAGTCAAAAAAGCAACACAGCAATTGTCTCGTCCATACATACGTGGGTACACATGTATTTGTGGTAACTAACTGCTGGAAGGGGAGCCCAGCGCACGAGATGGGGTGGGTTGATAAGGGCGTTAAGTGCTCCTACCATCAAACGAAAACCATTTAATAATCACGACCAGGTTTTGCTAGAGCTCACGTTGAGAAACAATTTATTTATGGCTCGCTCCACTTTTTCCCAGCCAATTCCACTACGGAATTGTTTCCCAGGAAGAGAAATCACAACCGGGTAGAGTAGGACAGGACGGTCGTGTGGCTAAACTACCCACCTTTACCTGCAGACACACGACCAAACCACGACCACGACTTTCTTTCTGGCACGACATCCACAGGGCAGGATACATAAGTAAATATTACTTATGTGGAGTGGAGTGGAGCTCGGTGGAGGCAATATTTTAGAGGCAGAGAGAGAAAATAGGACAGGGTTGTAAAGTAGGGGATGATGGAAATGGGAGAAAGTGTGAGATTTGGGGAGCTTTCTCCCATTAAGAAATAAGATAAGGAAGGAGGGGCGAAATGAGATTGGGGGTGTCCAAATGGAATTGAATTTCATTAAAAAAAACGGGCAAATTTACAGGCTTTCGTTCTACAAGAAGTAGAATTCGAACTTTTTATGTCACTATTTGATAAATTTGACGAATTTTTAAAGTACCTTAAATATCTACCTACAATTTCTTTATCTATCCGATATTTATTTATTTACAAAATCTTAAAATTCTATATTCGACATTCAGCATGTACAAGACATAATTTTTGTTAATCAAATTTTTCCAATTTTAAAGTGCATAGGAAAAAAATCATCATATCCTTAATTTACGATTTACAAAAACATCACATAAAATTTGTCTCACTTAAAAAAATTGTGTCTGTCCTCTCTGTTGAAACCCTGAAATCAGCCAAGAATCCCACCCAATCCATACCTTATTCTTTCACCATTTCTCTCTCATACTTATGTCCATACATATGTACACACACGGCATATTTGGTTCACCCGAGTGAAAATATGTTTTCAAAAAGTATACCCCACATGCATGAACATGCCTCGTCTCGTGTGACGTTGGAACCTAAGTGAGCATGTAAACCCACTTTAAATCGCATTCATAAAGTATAACCTACCATTACGCGTGTGATATTCGCTTTCACTTAATAATAACCTTCACTTCAACCAACTCAGCATGGTTTCGTCTCGTCGACTTTAGCAAATATGGAGCCAATAAGTCGCAGTAAAACAATTTATGGTGTTATCTCCCTTGTTTTTTGGCGAGATATTTAAGACATACACATATATTTTACATATGTACATATTTCGGTGATGGGATTTTGCTCATTCGCCAATTTAAGTATTTAATTTCAAGGTGAAGTCGGAGCTGGGAGAGAAGTGAACCTTGTAAAATATTTGGAACGCTATAAACACGTGGGGTCGAATGGAGAATGAAATGGGATTGTGGCACGAATATTTGGTGGATTTTGGTTATGTAATAAGGGAGAAAATAAATTAAGATGTTGTGCGTTGCAAAGTTGTAAATAATGTCGAAATTTTAAAAATTGTGTTATACATTTTAAATGGTAATTAAATACATAATGTTAAAAATTTTCAGAAAGTACTTTATCAAAATTTTTAAATTTTCAAAATTGCCAAAGTTATTCGGAAGTCGAAAAAAATTATTCATAAATTTAAACTTTGTGTTTAATTATTGCTATTATTCTCGATACCAAGTTGTTACCAGCTCGGTATTTGCATTCGGTGACAATCTTATCACCACATTTTTTCTTAAAGTTGCTCAATTTTGTTTCTCATACGACTTTTTTTTCATGAGATTGAAAAGTAAAACTCAATTGAGTGACTGACTAGACTAGTTGATTCAATTTTAAAGTTGTGAAACTTTTCAGACTCTTTTCTTCTCACAGAAAAAGAAAGAAGAATAAGAAACTTGATTATTTTCCAAGTTTGGAAATTGTTTTGGTTTTCTCTTTACTTTCACTCAGGTTTAAGAGTTTGCCGATATAGAGAAAGAAGGAAAGGAAGACAGGGGAGGAAAAAACTTGGTCGACAGAAATGTAAAGAAGAAAAAATATTATGTAGAAGAAGAAGATGGTTGAGTTTTTTAAGCCCGAGTCAGGCCTTATGTACCCGCCATGATTATCTGTCGGTCTGTATTTCTGCCTATGGATTAAAACTTATCCAATCGACTCGAAATTTTGCGCACACGTAGAATATCCAAAATTAGGTGTCAAGTTCAAAGATAAGAAAAATCTGTCCAAAAATAGAAAAGTTGTACCCACTCACCTTAATTGCTAATAACAACCTAACTCGGGCTAAATATGTAAGGCAGCATTGTGGGTTTTAGACCTTAGTAATAAACGTGGATCAAGAAAAGACAGGGTTCGTAAAAACATCCTGAACCATGAAATTCTTTGTAGCGTATGAATAATTTCTGAAGGTTTAAAGTCGGTTTTTTGATATATTTATGGAAAAATTTAATTTATCGTGAACCAAAAATTGGAACACTCAGATTTGGGAAAATGTAGTATAACTTTGCACGATTGAAATTTTGTTGACTTCGTGTTCCAGAAAATCTTTAAACCTTTTTACATAAATATGTTTTCACATTTTTAACTGCTTGGCGTCACAATCCAACTAACTTTGACAATTCTTCGACAAGTTAAAAAGCAGGTTACAAATCTATCGCAGACTTACATAGATATTAACTCGATCATTTATTTAAACAGATTTTGTACCAATTCGTATCACAACTTTGAAATCGTAAATCATAAACTCGAAACTGAATTGCTTCACTATCTTATCATCGGCATCAGAAAATATCAGCTTATAAAATTAAATTGCTACTGAAATGTGATCCAAAATTTGTTAAAAACATTTTAATTGTTTTTTTTGAAGATTTTGAAAGAATTAATTACTCTTTTGAATCTGATTTTCTTTACTGTTTGAATATCTTCAAAATTTTCAAAAATCAAAGAAAATTAAAATCCAAAATTTACTGATTGAAGATTGAAGAAACCTCACTTTATTTATAAACCCTGCCGAAATTGAAGGAATGCAATGATGATGATCATTTCTCTCTTTGTACGGAAATTTAAGACTGAAAATCTGCAATTAATGAATTTCGAATTAGATTGTGTTTAAGTTTTTGAATATTTTAAATTGTAAAATTTTTTTCCATAAAAAAAACAGCACTTTATTTATAAACCCTGCCAAAATTGAAGGAATGAAATGATGAAGTTGGTTAGAGTTTGGTTAGCTGAGAAGAAGAAGTAATAATGAAATAATATTGGCAGTCGTCCTCGCTCTCGGTGTGTGGCAGGCAGGCCGAGGCGAAGGAGAAAGCAATCCATCAAAATTAAGTGTCATTATCGATTGAGGATAAGAAGATGTAGGAAAAGTGAAACAAAACAAAAGCAGACTGGCACTTTTATCATGTAATGTGCTCTCTTTTTCCAGCCTGGCTCAATTCTCCTTCCCCTTTCATTAGATTATTATGAGCATGAGAGAGAGATTAAAAGTTCCACTATTTCCTGGCATGATATCATTTCGAGTGCTGGTGGTTTTTTCTAGGGGACAATTGTTGGGGGATTAAGAATGTGTAATTATTTGTATAAAAATTTGAAAAATGTAGTGAAATTGAGACAATTCACACAGTGGTTTCTTTGGTAACTTTGTAAAATCTGTAAATTTGGGAAAATAATTTTACAAACTTTTGCAAAATATCTAAGAGACATCCTTGATCGCAGTAAGTTTACAAAATTTGGGAGCTAATTTCCCATCGAAATATTTGTAAAATTTTGTAAAAGTTTACGGATTTTACAAATTTACCCGGAACTTCGTGAATTGCCTTATTAAGTTTTATATGAAAACAAATTACAATGTGTACGAAAATTACATTAATTATTACAAGGACTGAGTGAGTCATTCACTCGTAAGTCGATAAATTGCGTAAAAATAAAGGCAAACGTATTCACATTTTTGGGGAAAATAACGAAAGTGAAATCAGAAATTTGCTGTAAACTTTTGAAATAGAGAAACTTGATTTGTAAGTAAGAACATTGGCCTAATCCATTACCAGTATTCCCTACGGGCCTAATGCATCTTTAAACTGTTTTAGATATATCAACTTGACAATTTTTAATTTCTCGGCGTCCATACTTTCAAAAGTGTGATATTAAAATATTTTCAATCCTGTTAATTCCATAAAACTTGTAAACGTGTCCAGAAGTTTGGAAAATCAAGGTGCAAATGTATCCTAAATTTATAACACAAATCAAGGGCGTCTCTTAATTTTTAATTTTTTTGAAAAATTGTTTTATAGAAAACTTACACAGTATAAATATAAACATTTGCACAAAACTTAACAACTGAAGGGAAACACTAAACCCTACAAAAGTTTACGCAATTTTACTTAACGCCACAGATTAATTCATAAATCATACTTAAACCAAATATCTAAACTGCATTGAACCTTATTGTACCCAATTATTAACTAACTTTAAATTTAAAACAATGATATGAAGTCCAATTTCATATGGTTTACATTTTGTTAAACTAAACTCCTCTTAAAATATGAATTTTATAAAATCACCTTCCCCACAAAATTTCGATTTTGAATTTTTATTATTAAAATAGCACGAAATAGCACGATTTTTTCACCAGATTTTACAAACATTTACAATTTTGGGTCATGCAATGCGACAAAAATATTCAACCCTACTGCGTCGATTCTTCGCCTCTGGTCAACAACTCGACCAAACTCACCGGTCCGGTCCGGCCGGAAATGGGAACAATTTGCCCTCCTCGATGTCCGATTCTCTGTCTTGGTACGAAGAAGTCGTGGATGGTCTCGATCTTGCCGCGTCAATGTCACTCACGCCGCCGTCCATATCGTCCAAAACTTTCTGCGACTTGGCCAACAAATCCTTGAAGTAGGATCGGTAAGGTTCCCGCAGTTGGAGTTTGTTGAGCTGGTTGAACCGCTGGATGTGAATGAGGCGCAAGTCTTTCTCAATCCGTGTGGCCGGGGGGATCATTGTGGGGTCGAGGAGGGCCCCATCGCGGCAAAAGTTTGGTCCACTTTCGGTATAGTTGGGATGATTGATCGAGCCAAAGGTGGGTGACACGATACGAATATTGTCAAACATTCGCATCGATGGGATCGGTAGTTCGCCGGAGATGATTTTATCGGCACAGAAGAAGACCTGGGGTCAAAAGGGGAAAATATGGTTGGTTAGTAGGGTATTTGGTAGGAAACTGTAGTTTTAAGCGTGTATTGACGTCAAAGTTGACACCGAAACGGGGTCAAAATAAGTCAAAGGTCAAAAATGGGTCAAAATATCACTGGAAAATGGAATATCGTGGTAAAAACACATGGCCAGGTGTTGGCGTCAAAATTGACATCGAAACGGGGTCAAAATCAGTCAAATCTGTACGAAGATAACTTGTGTAGAAGGGTCAAATGGGTCCAACTATCATTATAAAATTGAAAATCGTGCCGAAACCACGTGGTCACTTGTTGACGTCAAAGTTGACCCCGATACCGGCTCAAGACACCAAAATTTTCAGAAACCACACGGTTTAACGTTGGCGTCACCTCTGACACCGAAACAAGTTCAAAATCCCCCAAATCCCTTCAATTACCTGTCTCAACCGACAATTCGCATTAATCACGATCCTCACAGTTTCAAAGTATCTCGTATTATACGTCCTCTTCAACAAATCATTGAAATCCACATGAATCTCATTCCATCCAATTTCCAACTTCAACGGTAGTTGACAAAGGAACGGCCACTTCTTCAAACTCGACGGATTGAACCACGTCGCCATATCGAATCTCCTCAAAAACCCGCGATTATCCAAGACTTGCACTTCGAAAGAAAAATTCCTCCGAAAGTTTTTCATCACGATCACCAAATGTGGGAGCGACACGTGCAACGCCATCCACTCCTTTTTAGGCGCGGCGATAAACGTGGACAAACTTTGCTTCGTATTGACCAACTCGAGAACATGAAACCGCTGCCCGATATCCGTCTCAATGCGACGCTTGATATGTCCAAGGCCAATCTACGTAAAAAAAATCTATGCAAAAATCTGTGCAAAAAAAATCCGCAAAAAAAATTGACCCCCCACCTGCTTCTCCCAAATTCCTAACGGTCCTTTTTCCGAGGCGAAAAACAGTGGGAAAAAGTAATGCGACATGTCCATCGTGCCGACCTTATCTTGCGTGAGGTACGTCTCCACCGCGCCATACTCATACTTATCATCCCCCTCGCTTCTCTGGTCCTCTTCCCGCCTCAGTTTTGCAATCGACTTGATAAAAGTTTCAAAAACTGAGGACGTATTTGCCATGTTCAGGAAGAAATTTGGGGTCTCGTACTTACTCGCACTTGCCGTCAAATAAATCCTCTCCTCAAGAATTATTGTGAACTTGGTGAGAATTTCTTCTCTCGTTATTGTTGCATTGTTTCCTTGCTTGGTTGCCAAGTGCCAAGTGGTGCCAAGTGTTTGCACATTGTTGGCCGCGTGATTGATCGCATGTTATGTTATTGGATTGTGGGGATTTGGACATCGCTTTTCGTAATTTGGGCGAGCTATTGATGGGTCACCCACTAGTGAACAATCTGACTGAACTGCTGATCACGGCGGCGGACGAAACGTGTGTGTAGTCTAAGGACAGATGTGTTTTCGAGGGTGACAGTACAAGACGGATCACTGCTCTGCTGTATGAAAGGATCCGTGTCCAATCCAAATAATAATGGACAAAGATTGACACAGAAATTAAAGGCGACTCCCCAAAGGATTCTCGCAGGGTCATGCAAATTCCGGAAAAATAATTCTGCGGTGCATCGCATCGCATTTCGGAAACCAAAACGGGAACGGTACGAAAGGCAGGCAGAGAGAGCCCTGCTTGTCAAAGGGGTTTGATCGATGGGCTGGGTTTCAGGCTGACCTGGACTTTTATCCTCCTCGTCCGACCGACTATGCTACACACACACTTTTATTTTTTAATCCCCCCAAGTCATGTTCCGAATTGTTGTCAATGGGACGCCATCCGATCCATCATCGCCAAAACAAACGCACCAAGAAGAAGAGGAGGAAAAAACTCATCGAGGAAAAACATGGCATGAGATGAGATGAGATTCTTTATTAGCTTAGAGAGTAGAGAGGAAATGTGTGTGCGAGGGGTTGACGACGGCACGATTCACGTGTACCAAAGTGCATGTACGTGACACTTTTGTGGCCTGACTGGGTTTGGTTAGGTGATGGAGAGACGATTTTTTTAAAATAAGGGAGACTTTTTGGTGTAAGGGATGACCTTGGCGGTGTGGAAGAAGGGGGTGAAATTATTAGTTTGTGAAAGGAAGAGAGGCATGATTTTTGGAGCAGGAATTTTGTGGGGGTGGAGAAGTTGGGGGTTTTACTTTTCATATTTTGATTGCACACTATTTTAATTGCGTTTTGATATTCAATATGTAACCATTCATGATGTGCAAAGGCTGTTGGCTATGATGCAATAAATCAATTATTATTATTTTAATTGCGTTTTTGAAATTGGCGACGGCACGATTCACGTGTATGTACATGCGTGACACTTCATGGCCTGACTGGGTTTGGTTGAGGGAGACAATTTTTTTTAAATAAGGGAGACGGAGACACTTTTTGGGTAATAATGGATGGTAAACGGCGACCTTGGCGGTGTGGAAGAAGGGGCGAAATTATTAGTTTGTAACGGGAACGAGGCATGATTTTGGAGGAGGATGTGTTCTAGGGTTGAAAAGTCGTGTATTTAATAATTTTCATATTTGTAAGGTATGGAATTGTGCGCAAGTTTTATTAGAAGCTTTGATACGTTGTTTTTATTGTGAAATATGTATCAGAGAAAGTTTTGCGATTTAATTTACTTATTTTATGAGGTGACGCTAGTTGTGAATTTTAAGAAAATTCGTAATAGCATTAGGAATAAACTTAAGGTTGATGACATTTTAAGATGATTTTTGGAGTAGGAATTTGTTGGAGTGGAAAAGCTGAAGATTTTGTAATATTTATTATATTTTTACACAAGCTTGATACGTTATTTTTTTGTGAAATAGGTAGTCGAGAAAGTTTTGTAGTTTGAGAATATCGTAGTTTATGTATGTATGACGTGACGCCAGTGAGAATTTTGCGAGAATTCGTAATAGTATTATTCAGGTATATGGAAGCAATTGTTGAGATGAGTTTTGGAACAGGAATTTTTTGGGGGTGGATGGAAAAGTTGGGGAATTTAATATATTCAATAAGAATAAAGTACGTATGAAACAATATTCTTTATTACGATTTGATACGTTGTCTTGTTTGTCAAGTATTTATGTAACAGAAATTTTCGCGATTTAGTTTAGAACAAGTTTGACGCCGGTAGAGAATGTTTGTGATAATTCGTAATATCACGAGTAAATTCTAGGTCCCAATCTTCTTGTTCGGTGAAGTTATATTTCTGAGAGAGATGTAATGTAATATTTATTTATGTTTCAAAATTGTAAAAATCTATATGACTTGGAGTAAAATCTCGATCTAAAAATCCGCACAATTGTACAAAATATCTACACGCACATTAATCCTCGATGAGTTGGAGATTCATTTTCTAAAGTTTAAAAACCTGTTTTTAGCAAGTAGAAATAAAATGCAACAAAATACAGTAAAATTGAGAATTTCACTACTTCATCTATTTTATACGGTCTCAATCTTGTAAGTGTCTCATTTTTCAGTCTGCCTGGATAGATTTCACGGTGAAAAAGTGCCATTTGGCAAGAAACGAACCGACAATAAAGAAGAAAGGGTTGACTCGGCATCTTGCGTGGGCTTTCACAAACTTTCGGGAAAATCAGCCTTTGTTGCCTCTAACGTTCCTGGCTAGATGTAGGCGGATGGACGGAGGGGAAGAAACGCACAGAAAATGCAGTAAATTTTCCATGAGAATTCGTAGGCCTGCTCACGGCAAAAATTCTAATTATTTATCCCTGTTTTTCGAAGTATTCACTTTTTGTTCACCACTTATTGCATGTTTGTACCTTATTTAGAGATAAAAATATTTTAAAAAATTGGTTAATCTTTTGAACTGAAAAATTTTGAGCTTTGTTTAAAAATATATTATTTGATACATGAATCACTTAAAAAATAATAAAATGTGAGAGTGTGATGCGTTTTTAGTTTAATCACGAATTTTAGTGAGTTGAAAAGCAAAGAAAATTTTTGTAGAGGTTTAGCATCAGTTTAGAAATTGGAAAAATAAGTAGTACTGAAATTACGTGGGCAGGTGCACCGCCCACTTCATTCCTTCTATTTACTTTTAGGTGATTTTGTTCACAGATATTGTCTGATATGAACCATTTTTAAAAGAATAAAATCAGTTTTTATCGCATTAAATTTTGGAATTACATGTTGTTTTTTGTTTAAAAGATAAACTTTAACGATGCAATAATTAAGTTATGTTTTGATGCCAGTTGAGAATTTTAAAAAAATTCATAATGTTAATTAAACAAATTGTAGATAATGATTTATTGGGTGACATGTAATAAGGAATTAATTTATGGAGAGGATAAGCAAGCCATTCAATATTTACCATTTTTTCGAAATAACACTAAAATATTTGCCAAAACAATTCCGTGAGTTTTAAGAATTGCAAAATTTATTTTTATTTCCGGGAGATTTTTTAAGAAATTTTCTGATATGATATCATAAGTCAATTCAAAAATAAATCTCACGACCACGTCTTAACTTTTAATTGGATGAATTTTAGCATCTCGAAAGAATTGAATTGATGTTATGTTATGATCTGATGCCCGTTCGTAATTTTGGATAAATTAGTGATTTGATTAAAACAACTGTAGATAGGTTGGTCAGCAAATTGGGTATGGAAATGCCTTGCATTGCAGATTCGAAGCGAATTTCCGTCATGAAATGGTGCTTTAAAAAGACATGGCATTTTTCAAAACAAATTTAGCAACTTGAAAAAGTCATGCGTAATGTTATGCCTTGATGCCAATTCTGAATTTTTCAAAAATTCTTACGATGAGTTGAACGTGCAAGCGTCTCAACTAATTGTACATTCATTATGTTTTACATGGGATTGTAACTGGTAATGTTAACAAATTTATGAAATTGATTTTAAAATAAGTTGTTGAATATTTATGATTTTTTTTAATTCAATAAATTTTTTACCTTTATTAGTTAACACAAATTTTAGAAGAAAAAAATTTGTCGGTTGAAAAAATCATGCTCAATGTTATGATTTGATTCCAGTGGAGAAGTTTTGAAACATTGAGGAATTAACGATGGGTAGAAGATGAACATTTCCATCCATATAATTACGAGTTTTTAATTCCATTATGTTCACATGAAATCTAAAACTCGTTGGATATTTTAACTTGTATGTAATGTTGGCAAATTTCAGAAATTGGAGCTCAATTTTGAAAAAAAGTATAAAATATTTATGAATTTTGTTTTGATTCAATACGTTTTTCTTTGCGTAACAAATAGAAATTATAGTCAGTTGAAAGTTAAAAAAGTCGCGCTTTTTATTATGTATTTTAATGCCAATTGAGAAGTTTGAAAAAATCGTAATTTTTAAATAAATTGCAGATGCAAAACTTAAAGGTAATGTTATGATTTGGTGCCAGTTGAGAATTTTGGAAAAATCATTAATTACCAAATAAAAGATTTCAGATTCGACTATAAACTAAATTTTTAAAGCTTGTTTTTTCAAGAAATTTCCAATACATGATGAATTTAGTACGCAAAGTAGGTACATCAATTAGTAAAAAAAAGAAATTTCAGTTTTCTTACTTATTTATTATTCACTCATTTCTGATTGTGTACTCACTCGTATTTATGCATTTAGCGTTATTTAGCTGATTAATAAATAATGCCATCCAGCCATCCTTTTGCATATTCTACTGCCTCTTAAATACTTTTGCGGTTATATAAGTAGGAACTAAAAAATAGCAAAAAGAAACATTTTACGTTTCCATTTTTTTCAAAAAAGCTACACATTTAGCAGCATCCACTCCAGTACATTTTTTAAATTATTACAATTTTTCCAAGACTTTTTCCACCTATTTTGCATATCTATATATAAAGTATAAGTATCTTTAATTAAGTAAATAGTTAACTGCTTAATTCATTACTTAATTATGAGACCATTAAGTCAATTTTACACGGGTGTTACAAAGCTTTTCTTTTAGCCTAACCTTTGGTTTATTGAATTACCGTTAAATTCACAAGTACTGATTTTTGTTACGTATGAATGTATTTCATGAAATTTCATGAAACTCCATGAAATTCCATGTCTATTTTAAATATATAGCTACCTTACAAATAATACGAATATTGCAGTGATTCCTTCATTTAACTATCTTAAATACGTGCCATTAATTAATTTTTACTCGGATTTGTTATCTGTCTTTTGCCAGTTGAATTATTGCTATTTTCATTATTACTCGAAAAAATAAGCTATTTAGCTCAGTTGATAATACTCGGGGGCATAGTCGCTCGAGATGTTTGACAAGAAATTGAGGTCACCGGACGAATCGGCACCCACGTCGGGATTAAAGTATGGATTTTGATGATGACCTTGATGGTGGTGTTGCTGTTGATGATGATAACTCGACGTGACGTAGTCGTTGGAAGAATTGTGGTGGTACGAGGACGCCGCGTGTGGGTGGTGGTGACCACCCCCGTAATTTACGTCATCTTCACCATAATAATCGCCCCCACTTCCGGTCGGGATAACAGGAACGGAGGAGGAGGAGGCGGAAATCTGGTCGTAGAATCCGGCGGCGTCGACAACGACGCCACCACCATCGACGAGCGGTGTCGTTCCCGCTGTTCCTGCGGTGGCAGTTGAGGAGAAAGGACCGGAAGTTGGCCCACCGGAAGTGGGTGACGTATACGGCGAAGGAGACGGGTAACCTCCTGCTTGATGATGCGGATATGTCGAAGAGGTGGACGAGTATTGCTGCTGCTGTTGCTGGTGAGAGTATGATGACGATGAGGATGACGACGTCGAGGAGGATAACGTGGCACCGTACGGAGAGGAATTGTTACCGGGGGAGGAGGAGTATCCTCCCGTGAGGTGGTGTTGTTGAGGTTGGTGGTGGTACTGGGTGGTGGGGTAGGTGGTGGTGCCATAACCGGAAGTGTGGTCTCGGATGGGGATCTCGGTATTTCCTCCGCTGCCATACGTGTTATTCGACACGATAGAAGATTGTTGTCCTCCTCCCGTTGAGTATGGATTGTTGTACGGTGAGGAGGATGAGGAACTGCCAGAGGTCGGATAATACTGACCGTACGATGCCCCACCACCACCACTTATCGAATCTCCACTGATGGGATATCTCGTCGAATGGTGGTCACCTCCCAACTGATTAGTAGTTATCCCATTATTTTTAGAGGCACGTCCCATCCCATAAATGGACGACGACCCCGATCTTCCTCCCCCATTCGAAGAGTACGAAGAATTTGAAGTATCCTGCAACAGCGTCCCTTTGAGGACCGTGCCCCCATTGAATCTCGTATAATCCATGCCATGTGAACTTCCTGGGTGTAGATTTGCTGAATTATTTTTCCCCTTCTTATTACTCCCCCCACCGCCACCGGTCCCCAATTTCGCCAGGTTAGAACTTAGCCCAGAAATCGCCGCGTTATTCTTGCCACACGTCGTAGCTCCGTATTTCATCTCTTTTTCGACCCCCAACGTCAAACTGTTCATGGAGGCGTTATTATTGTCGTAATCGTACAAATCGACCTTTTCCAGTTTTGGGTGGCAGCCGGTCGTGTCATCCTTCGTCAAAATGTGGTGTTGTAAAGAGTTATTATTGTCCTTGTAGTAGGACGAGTTATTATTTTCGCTGCCGTCCAGGGGGGCGAGGAGGAGTTGATTGTTCATGAGTTGCGAATTTTTTGCAGCCGCTTTCGCCTTCGCGGCGGCGGTTTGTTTCTTATTGGGAGGAGTGGAGGTGGTTGATGGCGTCGTCGTGGTGAGGGAGGTGGGCGTGGAGGTGGACGTGGTCGATGGCGACGAGGAGGAGGGCTGGGCGATGGGTTGGGTGAGATCACAACTTTGACAACTTTTCTTATCCAGGAGGCCGTCCGGGGAGGAGAGGGAGGGGGAGGAGGAGGGTGTGCCGGATTTGTCTTCGAGGAGGGAGGAGGAAGATTTCTTTTCTTTGGAGGAGGAGGATTTTCCATCTTTCGTGTCGTCTTCGTCCCCACTTTTCGTCACGGTTTGTCGTTTGTGTTTCATGCGGCGGTTTTGAAACCAGACCTGGGAAAAGAATGGATCATTAGGTTTTGGCTTTTTTTGGAGGGGGGGGGGATTTTAATAGGGGAATATTTATTTGGTTTACTGTACCTTGACCTGTGAGGAGATAAAGAAAAAATTGATTAGTTTTTATTGGTTATGCAAAAGGTATTTTAATTATTTATTAACGGTAAATAATCAGTGTTCCGTGATGCATTTTTAGGATGAAAGATTGATTGAGAAATATTGATATTTTCGTGGGAAAAAAATTTCTGAAAAAAATGATCCGAAACAATGTCAAATTTCATAAACTATTTCATATCGAAAGTGGACAGGCAAAGGAATTATCTAATTAAATATGTCTCGAAGTATTACAAATTTTTCTAAAATTCTCTTAATAGGCATCAAACCATAACATCAAATCGAACTTTTCAAGTCGCTAGATAACGCAAATTACAATAATTCACAGAATTTCATATTTCATTCATTTTAAATAGAGATCATGCCAGGAAATTTCTTTAAAATGTTTGGAAACATAACTAATTTTTTTAATAAATCTTTTGGCATACCAAAAATATCGGACCATTTCTGTATCTTCCATGTTTTAATAATATTATGAATTTTTCCAAAATTCTCAACTGGCATGGAGTTATAACATAAAATTGAACGTGTCAAGTCGCTAGACAAAGATAACTCAATTTAAAAATAATTAACAGAATCTCATATTTTCTTATTTTTAAAAAGATATCAGGAAATTGTTTTAGCAAAAAAAAACGGCCGGAAATATAAACAATGATTTCCCATAAATTTTTTGTAATAAAAAATGGGATACACCAGATGATCTCTACCTACTAATCGTTTTAATATTATTATAAATTTTTCCAAAATTCTCAACTGGCATCGATTTGTAGCAAAAAAATTAACATTTTTTAGGTCGCCAAAAGTTATCTAAACAAATTTACTCCTCTCTGGATTCAAATATCTCTGTCAAATCTTTTGCAAAATTTCTTTCTAATCAAATTTGTCTCTCTTCGTCTTTGTAATTTGGTCAAAGTATGTATGTTTGTTAGGCGATTCAACTGTTATTTAAACCTTCCCCCACTTAAATTCAGTAATTTCTTAGAAAATCTAATGACTTTTAATACGGTAGAATAGAAATAAAAGTGTTCAGAAAAAGTGAAAAAATACATCACGTAGAATTCTGTTAGTAAAAATGTGTCCGAAAATTAAACCAAAAGTTTGAACTTGGATTGATGCCTTTTAAATATTTCATGAAATTCAGGTAATTTCTTTTAAAGATGCTCGGAAATCGAAACAATGGCGGAACAAATATTTTTAAAGAATTGCCCACAAGAACAAATACGACCTACGATTCATCTTTAAGAAACACATTTTATCTTAAATTCTCAATTGACGTTAACTCGTTACACATAAATTCCCATGAAAAAATTGAAAAAATTTCATATTTTTAAATTTACGAACGTCCCTACGTATCACGTAATTTAGGTTTTTTGAAAAATTGTTTGAGGAATTTGTTTCCTCTAACGTATTTAATTATACAAATTCAACTTTAATACTTAATTTAAGAAACTTTTAAAATCTAATTTTTTGAGCATCCTTTGTGCAAGCACGGAACACTGAAAATTTACGCAAACTTTAAATCCGTACCTGTCGTTCCGAGAGGTCTAGCGATGCCGCAATTTCGATCCGTCTGGGTCGACAGAGATATTTGTTAAAGTGAAACTCCTTCTCTAACTCGAGCAGTTGCGTGTTCGTGTAAGCTGTCCGAAGGCGACGGGGAAGTCCATTCTCTAATTTAAAAAAACATGAAAATATTTAAATATTTTATAAGAAATTGGAGGTCAATTAATTCTACCAGTGGACACAAACGACCATAAATAATTAGATAATAAGGCAATTCACACAGTCCTTGGCAATTAAATTAGTTGGTTTGTGACAAATTGAGCTAATTCACGCAATCGTTGGTAACATTTTAAAAATTCCGTAAACTTACAAAATTTTACAAATATTTCTGAGGAAAATTATCTTACAAATTTTTGTAAGCTAATAAGTCTTATCTTCAGATCAACTACGCCGAATTATTATCTGTTGAAATTTCATTTATATATCTGATCCGATTTTATCCACATTCGACGCAACAAGGTGACAAAACACTTGAATTAAGTCCAAGCAAAAAACTGCTCTTTGCAATTGTAATTTTTACCCAAATTCGTCTGTTAGGACATATACTTGTTCGTATATTTATAATTTTTACTCAAAAATGGACTTCAGAAATGTGATACTTAAAGTAATAATTCATAATCTCACATTCACTAAAAGATATAATTTTTATAGAAGTTTTTTTTCGATTTGGGTGATGAGTTGCATTTGAAACTTGGTTTTTCATTTATAATCTTGGTTACACACCTTTGTAACCTGATAGAGTTAACTATAGTAAATTGCAAATATTCAATTGTATTTTTTTTGCAAATGTGGACGCCAAACATAAAAATTATGAATTTCAAGAACTTTAAAATTCTTTGAAGATTTCTACCCCTAGGTTTGTGGATTAAAGTTAGGTATTCCATTTAAGAAGTCTAAAGTCTATTTCTCAAATTGCGGATTATTTAGCATTCTTCTCGAAAAATTTACTGAGTGACAGACATCTACATTTACTTTATATCATGAAATGTAGTTAATTGGCAAATAATACGCATGTGATCGTTATTTTTGCAACATTTTGCACAAATCTTTCTTCAAAAATCTTAAAAGTGTTTCTCAAATTGCAGATTGTTTAGCACTCCATTTCAAGAGTACAAATTTTTGAAAATTTGCTCAGATCCTTGTTTTGTAAAAGGTTGCAAAATTATTTTACTAAACGCACGAATTTTACAAGTTACAAATGACTGCGTGAATATTTGGCCTATCTTCTATTAATCCTCACGATACCATAAGATGTTGAAATATTTCATATGTATGTAGTTTTTACGTTTCAAGACAATGAGGAAATTCATGCAGTCACTGACAATATTCTAAAATTTTGTAAAATAATTTTACAAACTTAAACAAAGTAAAAAGACGCTCTAGTTTATAAAAGTTTATAAAAATTTGTGGATTAATTTTCTTTAGAAATATGACTAAAATTGTGTAAAAGTTTGCAAGTTTACATTTTTGTTTACTATGTTCCCAATGACTGCGTAAATTGTCTCAATGAATTAGTTACGAATAAATACTGTGTTAGTGTCATTCCATAATTTAAAATTATATAAAAATAACTTTTCGTATTCTTAATTAGATTAAGAACACCTTCATCGGAAAGTAATTGCCATTTCAAGTCATATTTGCATATTTACTTATTTTCATACAACTTTCTCCATCTGCAAATTCAGGAATATCATGTTGCTTACAAGTTACGTCCTTTTTTAGCATAACAAAGTGATCTTAATCAATACAAGATCAATTAGATGTATATTATTAAAAATGCAATTAAGCACGATACATATTTCTGAAATTCCCTACATTTTCTGGAAACTGTATCCACAAATTTTTTGTAAGCAACACCTTAATTATTAAAATGCAAAAATTTCAAAATTTTTTCAAATCAATTTCGTACGAGTTTTAATACAAGCTTAAATTCATTGTCAAAAAGAAAGTTGAATGTTTCCGAAAAAGAGTCATCATCATTCTATAAGTATGAATTTGCACACTTCCACCTGAAATGACGGGCCGTGCATGAAAAATGTGACCTCCGATTAATGGATGTCATGGATCTTTAGTAGTTAGGATTTTGAATCACTCGATATTACTTTACCCGAAAATAAAAACTCACTGATTTTTGAGCTTTCTTCTTTCTCAACCTGAATTTTGTGTAAATGAGCAGTTCAGTAAAATTGTTGTTACTGCTACCCAGTGAATTCACAACAATTTGAGAAATATATTTACGATTTCATTACCACTTAATCTTAAACTATAATTTATACATGACTCCAGATTTTTAATTATTCTTGGCGTCCAGATATTGCATACAAATAAATATATGTAATTAACTTTACAAAACTTATGAAAATTGGGATTTCTGGTTGGGTCAAATATTATCATGATTTTTGTAAAGTGTTAGTTTGAGTACCGGTAAGCTGCTCGCGCTCATCTGCACTCGCTCATCTGCTCACGCTCATCCGCACACCCTCGATTGCACACCTACACATTTTGCACACGGATGATTCTGCACACCCTCATCGTCACACCCTCAACTGCACACATACACATTCTGCTCACCAATCAGTCTGCACACCTAATTATTCTCTGTTAAAATTTATGAGGGTTATAAGGATGGTCACAAATATTTTTGGCCCCAATTGACGAAATGAATTTCGTCAGAAGAAAGAATTTTGTGTGACCAAATTTTATTTTAACACGGAAATATTGTTACATCACGGGATTTAAACCAAAACGTCGAATTTATAAACTTATATAATTTATAAACAAAGTTTATAAATTTATATAATTTATGTATTTGCAACTTGTAATTAGCTTGTCATTGCCAATATTACACTGAGCCACCGTCATTCAATATTAGCAGCCAGAATAATTTTAATAAATTTTTAGTAAAATTATTTAGTCCTAGGAAAAATATTTCCTAGGACTACGCATAGTCGAAACCCCTCATAAATTTTAACAAAGAATAATTAGGTGTGCAGAATGATTGGTGAGCAGAGTGTGTGCGTGTGCAGTTGAGGGTGTGCCGATGAGGGTGTGCAGAATCACCCGTGTGCAAAATGTGTAGGTGTGCGGATGAGCGCGAGCAGATGAGCGTGTGCATATGAGCGCGAGCACAATATAGGACACCGTTTGTTTAAAGTGTTGCGAAATCGTAATCAACAAACTTTAAGAGATGCAAGGAATCTGTTAAGATTAACAGGGAATTGTAACTTGATTTTTGTTCATAGTTTTGTTAATTTGGTAGATATTACAATTTGTAATTTACAACTTGTAAATTACAAACTACGGATGAAGTACAAATGCATCTCAATTATAGTATATTTTACTAATTTTTATATTTCTCAATATCGGCGTAGATATAACAGAAAGTTAACATATAAAAAATCTAGATATTTATTCATCTCTTCACAATATTTATTCTTGACTTATTCAATGAGGCAATTCACGCAGTCTTTGGTAACATCGTAAACTCCGCAAATTCTGTAAACTTATAAACTTTTACAAATATTTCGAAGGAAAATTAGCTTTCAAATTTTTGTAAACTTGCTCAGATCAAGAGCGTCTCTTTGTTTTGTACATACAGGTTTGTAAAATTATGCTACTAAACGCACGGATTTTACAAAGTTACAAATGACTGCATGAATTGCTTCATAGTTCGCAAAATGAACTGCAAACATATTAAAGAAGAATTATATGTCAAGAGAAGTATTCATACATAAATGGGAACCTCTTGCAAAGAAATTTCCTCTGGTATTTTAGAAAAACTTGCGGGTTTTATGACTGTGTGAATTGTTTCATACATAATTTACAAAATTTCCCAGTGAACTTTATATTAAACAGGAGTTATACATCATGAAATGTATAAATAGGAAGCTCTCACTAACAAATTTCCTCACTCGGGGTAACATGACACAAAGTTTTCGCATAAAAATCCATCTCATCATCAATGAAAACGCTATTAATTAACCCCCTCCTTCTAAAAAATCGATTCCTCCTCATCCCATCCGCACGTCCCCCTTGGAGTAAAATGTGAAAGGTCTCCTCGTTCTTAAGAGGCGGAAGTCACCACATTTCGAAAGAGAAATGATTGATTTCCTCTTCTCATCCAGCTCTTGTGTCTCTTGTGAGACTTTTGTGTCTCACTCTTGCTGACTGACTGACGGCTATGACAAGTCGGGCAGACGTTGAAACTTTGACTTACTCGGCGAACGGACGGACGGATGGATAAGAAAGAAGAGGATGGATATCGCCTCACTGAACTCAACTTAACACAACAAAAATGTGCATAAGCCAAGAAAAACAGAAGAAAACCGCTAAGATAGCATCTTCCCTTTGTTAGACCGGAAACAGTAGTAGTAGCTTCAGCTCCAGAAATGTCGACGTCTTGTTCTTCATGAGGGAAAGAGGAAGAATGTATGTATCGTTTTGAAAAGTAAAAAAAAAATTCGAAATAAGTTTTTAGCATGGTTTTTTGGTTGTTGTTGTTGTGAGGTTTGGTGATACAGTTTGTTTTGATGGCGGTGGCATTTTATTTTGTAAATAAGGTCATTGTAGTTTTTAGCTAAATGAAGTTCAAAAAGTGGAAAGTTTTTTAAAATGTGGCTGTTATTAATGCAATTACTAATTAAGTCATGAGTTTTCGAAAATATCTATATCAAAATAAATTTCAATTTGTACCAGAATTTTAAACTTGGTAGATCGTCGAAATACACATTTTACAGTAAAAAATGATCGAAATCGGGCCCAATTTCATAATTAATACTTGATTAGTTAAATTAACCAACTGGAATTCAAATATTTCGAAAATATATATGTAAAAATACTATAAATTTCAATTTATACCATAATTTTACCCTTGGTCTCGTCTAAATACACATTTTACGATTAAAAACCATTATCAAAATCGCTCCAAATTTCATAACTTTCTCCTTACCACGTGCCCAATTTGCCAAATAGAATTCAACTTACTACAACTTCTTCAAAAACCTATATATTAATTTCATACCTATTTTAAGAAATCTATTTCCGTGCATTTAAAATATTCCTCCTCCAAAAATGTCAACTTTATAAATATAAACATATTTCCATTTTT